ATGGTTCCCGTTACAGAGGGAAGGTTGAATGTTCTAGCGGACAGTATTGTAAGTGTATGTGCGTTTCCTTTAACTTAAAAAAAATAACATAACGTTACATTTTTCATTACAACAACCAAAAGCTAAATTTCAAATTCTCTTTTGATAAGTTTATTTGGCAAATATTACATACAAGAATGTACAAGCCATATTAAGGAGGTTCACATATGAATTATGAAAAAGTTAACTTTGCTCATCCCACAAGCACGAGAAAGACAGGTAGGAAGGGAGAGGGTTAGAAGGAAGATATGAAGGAAGAAACAAACATCATTCGTTTGGAATAGAGGATGCAAGGTGAGAAGAGAAAAGATGATGAATGACTCATCTTCATTCTTCACAAATATTTATTCCATTAAATAAAGATGGAAGACACAAAGAAAGAAATATTAACAACCATCTACTCTAAAAACTTAAACTGTTAGAATGGGTGTAACTTAACGGTGTTTTTCAACTTTTTAATTAGGGTGACGGTAAGGTTTGATCTTGATAGTGCTACATGCCCAAAAGTTCAAGTTGTTGGTAGTGCTACATGCCCACCCATTTATATACATTTCAACCCCCATCTAAATTCCATGTGGGATAAGTCTCACTTGTAACATTCTCCACCACCCGAACCTGTGTAACGCCCTCGTTGCGGTCGGGTCATCCTGCCTACCCGGGGTTAGACTCGGACGCCCTTCGGGCCAGGTGCTTGGCTTGACACCAGATTAAGGACTGGATCTGGCTCTGATATCAGGTTAATAACCATCTACTCTAAAAGCTTAAACTGTTAGAGAGTGTGTAATTTAAATATATAAATCATTCAATAAGAAATACAGGTTATTATAAAAGTTTTAAAATTACAAAAGTTTTCTTATAATTACTTGTCTTTCTTCATTTCTTTCCTAACAAACAAAATAAAATAAAATATTATTTTATTCTCTTCTCTTATCTTCCATCCAACCAATAAAAAGAGACAGAAATATCTCATTTATCTATCTTTTTTTCCGTTCATCCAATTTTTTTCCTTCTGATCAAACAGAGCATTAGTGTTGCACGTTAATATCAAAAATAAATTGGTAATGTAAGGACCCTATGGTCTGGAATTAATTGGGAAGGTAGATGAAATCCACAATCATATCATGATTCTTATTATAATGTAAAATTTGGCAGGACAATATATATATATATATATATATATATATATATATTACACATGCTTCCTTCCTCTTTGAAACGTAAAACATTGCAAAACCAATATGAATTTGGAAGCAACATGCACTAAAAGATGTGGAGCTTTCAGTCCAAGAATTATTAAAATTCTTGGCTTTCATTGACCCAACACTTTCCTGGATTAACTTAATTGGTAATTTGGGAGTGTAATTATTAAAAAAATTGGAATGTTTCTTTTCTTTTTTTTTTTTTTTCTTTTTTTTTTTTAATATAATTAAAATTGGAATGTTGATATATATAATTAAAATGAACATTTATCATTACATTGTCTATGATGAAAAGATAATGATTTGAAATTCAAAATTTGAACAATTCTGAGTAATTGATGTGATATCATTAATATTTGTGACGGTCAACTCCAATTCACATAAATTTACTCAAATTGGTCGGACTCCCTATTATCATCCTAATTGCAATGAAAGAGAATTTGAATTATGGATGGATTATAAATATGAAATTTTTGGCTACAAGCACTACTACCACACTGTATAAGACAAGGCTAAAACCATAGAGCTTTCAGCCCCGCACACACATTCGGCACACCATAGTATGACCCATTTAAAACATAATTTTGTAACTTTGAAATGCAAGTATGACCCATTTAAAACATAATTTTGCAACTTTGAAGTGCAAGTATGACCCATTTAAAACATAATTTTGCAAGAATGAGGTATATGTATAGGCAGTGAGAGTTTGTGTAGTGAGTGAACCATTTATATTTGTGAGTTTTTGAGGTTGGCTCCTGTTGTGATGAAATTGGTACAGAGAGAAGGGAGATGAAGAGGTTAGATTGGTTATTTGATGTGTTTGTCTACAAGTCAAAGGGCTAAATAGTTACTTACTCATGTAATAGGTGTCTGTCGTCGCCCGCGGAGGGGGGGTCGCTGAATGACGTTGACTAAAACCTTAAGGGGTGTCAGTGTAATTTACCTAAATATGAATTTGGAACATATACAATGGGCCAAAAAATTATTACATCATCCTCGATGTTAGAAATAAATTAATGGAAAAAATAAATTAATGGAAAATTAATAGTATATTGTATTGAATTGGTATGAAATTACACAAAGGTCCTATATAGGAAAATATTCGGGGGTACGTGGGTGAGTGATGAACAAGTAACCTATAGATACTAATATGATAGATGTAATCATATATGATAATTTGTAATATGTAAGAAACCTAGGTGGTAGGTAAAATGATAAAGTTGTTATTTAAATGGTATGATCTCTATTCTTGGAAGGAAAGCTTAAGGAGTGTAGTGAGGGAGTTGTTCCATGGTTCTCATTATAAAGAGAAGGTTGCATTTTCGAGCCATTTTAGTGACAATATTGTGAGTGTATATGCATTTACTTGAACTTAAAAAGAAAAAAGTAAAAAACATAACATAACACAACACTATCCATTGCACCAACCAGAAAATCTAATTTTCTTTTGATAGGTTTATTTGACAAATATTACATATAAGAATGTGCAAGCCGTATTAAGGAGGTTCACATGCGAATTATGAAACAATTACCTTGGCCCTTCAAGCATGGGAAAAATAGAGACCATACCCACCCTCTTTTTCTCCTTTATTTTTTATTTTAGAACTTAAATGTAAGCAATTGGGCCATGATTTATGCTCTTTTTGGTAGGCAGGTCGGAAGAAAGAGGGGTGAAGGAAAGATAGAAAGGAAGAAACAAACTTCTTTGGTTCGGAAGAGAGGAAGCAAGAAGAGAAAAAAAATAAAAAAGATGATGGATGTGTCATCATTCTTTCTTTACAATTTTTTATGCTTCCAAATATGGATGGAAGACGCACGGCTATCGTAAAAGTTTTTAAATTACAAAAGTTTTCTTATAATTAATACCCTCTCTTTCTTTATTTCATAACAAATAAAATAAGATATTATGTCATTCATTCTCATCCATTCAACCAAACAAAAGAGGGAATGACACAATTTCTTTCTTGGGAATGTCTCATTTATATCTTCTTCTCTCCCTTCTATCTAATTTTCTTCCTTAATACCAAACGGAGCATTAGTGTTGCCCATTAATATCAAAAATAAATCGGTCATGTATGGTTGGCCTAAATCTGAAATTAAAACATGATTCTCATTATTTCCTTTCTCTCTTTGAAACAAAAAACATTGCAGGGTAGTTTTGAGTTAGAAATCAAAATTAATATGAATTTGGAAGCAAAATGCACTAAAAGATGTGGAGCTTTCAGTCCAAGATCTATTAAAATTCTTGGCTTTCATTGACCCAACTTATCTGGTTTAACTTAGTTGGGAGTCTAATTACTAAAAAAAAAAATTCAAAATTGGAATTTTGACATATATGATCAATATCAACATTTTATTGTTACATTGTTGATAATGGTAAGATAATGATTTGGAATAGGGAAGCTAGAGAATTATGATTAATTTATGTGATATCATTAATATTCATAATGTCATGATGACATCAATTCTTATTGACATAAATTTAGTCAAATTCATCTCATTATCGGACTCTCTATTATTATCCTAATCATAACGATAGAATATGAAGTGGGGATGAAAATATAAATATGAATTTTTTAGCTACAATTACTACTGCCATTCTGTATCCGACAAGGCTAAAACCATAGAGCTTGCATAGACAAATTTGGCACACTGACCCATTTAAAACATAATTTTGCAACTTGGTACCATGGTATGCCCCATTTAAGACATAATTTTGCAACTTGGTACCATAGCATGGTCCATTTGAAACATTATTTTGCAACTTGGAAATGTAAGAATGAGGTGGGTGTGTGTGTGTGTGTATATATATATATATATATAAAAGTAGCTAGAGTTTTATACATAAAAATAACGAGAGTCTTGTATATATATTGAGTTAACCCTTTATATTTGTGTGAATTTTTTTTTTAAGAATAATTAAACGTCTCCAATTCAAAATTTACTACTACTATTACTCCGTATTGTATTAAAAGTTTGAAAAACAAAATTTGATCATTAATAAATAATAACTACTACTAATCACTATAAATTAGTGCCATATAAAATATAAAAAGGAATATTCCCACCTAACATTACTCTAAAATAAAAAAAATAAAGTGACCCATTAAAAGTGGAGTTCCAAGCATTTTTGGAGTAATTGTGATATTTAAATGTGTTTTAAAGTGAAAATTATGTCAACTTATTTTTTTAAGATTAATGATAGGGGAACCGAAAAGGAATCATCGAATTAGTATCGAATTTGACGTGGTTGACCATTCTTATTATGTGTTAAATAATTATTTTTAAAAATTGTTTAAGTAAATGAGATAAACAAAAACACGTCAAATTCGATATGAATTCGATACTTATTATTCGAAGTTAATTCATTGATTTCTCTATCATTATTATTTTTTTAAAGAACAAGTGGAGTTATTACTTATAAGTGATTATTATCTATTAGTGATTATTATCTTCATATAACATACAAAAAATTCTGAGCCTCCAATTTGTTATCTAAAATAAAACCTACACAGACGACCAATGAATTTTCTCCACCTGGAAAACATCAGGTAAACAATTGGCCGATGCCTTTGACTTTAACATGACGTGGCAGCCATATCATGGTTAGTAAAGTAGTTGCCCGGCCAATTCATGCACTGAACTTAAAAATTTTGACATTGTCTCTCACCAACTTGCTCACCTACTACTTTCTCTCTCCTACAAAACCAAACCAACCCCACGTTAAATCTAGCGCCGTCAACTCCCTCCCCTCCACCATTGATCTTACCAACTCCTTCAACACACGCGCACACACACACCTAACCTCTCTCTTCCTCTATAAATCCCCAACCATCACCACCTTAACCTCCAACACCCACACCACCATTCTTCTCTATCATACGCCCCCCCGCATTGCCTCTAACCTACGCAGATGGATCTTCTCCTCCTAGAGAAGACCCTCTTAGGCCTCTTCGCCGCCGTCATCGTCGCCATCACCATTTCCAAACTCCGCGGTAAACGGTTCAAACTTCCGCCCGGACCCATACCCGTACCCGTATTCGGCAACTGGCTCCAAGTCGGCGATGACCTGAACCACCGCAACCTCACCGACCTGGCCAAGAAGTTCGGCGAAATACTCCTCCTCCGAATGGGTCAGCGAAACCTGGTGGTGGTCTCGTCCCCTGACCTCGCCAAGGACGTGCTCCACACCCAGGGGGTCGAGTTCGGGTCCCGAACCCGGAACGTCGTGTTCGACATCTTCACGGGTAAGGGTCAGGATATGGTGTTCACTGTCTACGGTGAGCACTGGAGGAAGATGAGGCGGATCATGACCGTCCCTTTCTTCACCAACAAGGTGGTCCAGCAGTACCGGTTCGGGTGGGAGGACGAGGCGGCGCGTGTGGTGCACGACGTGAGGAAGAACCCCGAGGCGGCGACGGCGGGGATTGTCCTGCGGAGGCGGTTGCAGCTGATGATGTACAATAACATGTACAGGATTATGTTTGATAGGAGGTTTGAGAGTGAGGATGACCCTTTGTTTATGAAGCTGAAGGCGTTGAATGGAGAGAGAAGTAGGTTGGCTCAGAGCTTCGAGTACAATTATGGCGATTTTATTCCTATTTTGAGACCTTTCTTGAGAGGCTACTTGAAGATCTGTAAGGAAGTGAAGGAGAGAAGACTGCAGCTCTTTAAGGATTCTTTTGTTGAAGAAAGGAAGTAAGCTTTTTTTTAGATTATATATATATATATATATATATATATATATATTTGTATCATCTTGATTCCATAATCTTCATTAATTTCTCTCTGAGTATCTCTAACCATATTCAATGGCTGTGACCATGTCACGTCATTTTAAATGTCCATTTCAAAAATTGGGAACAGTTCACCGTTTTCGAACCAGACATTGCTTCCGAAGTGAATATTTAAAATGAGAGAGTATAATATAGGAGTAATTGGTAGTTGATGATGTGATATGTTCGATGATTTAGAGATAGTTAGAGGGGGAAAAATCAATGGAGAGATCCAAACTTGTTTATCAGTGTTGCTTAATTTGTTTATTTTTATTATTTTTTATTTATTTAAAGGTTTTTATGAAAAATTTATTAATTTTAAATTGGTTATTTTTGTTTTTTAATATATCAATTAATATGTGTTGTAACAGGAAGCTATCGGGTACCACCAAAGTTATGGACAACAATGAGCTGAAATGTGCTATAGATCATATTCTGGATGCACAGCAGAAGGGAGAAATTAATGAGGATAACGTTCTTTACATTGTTGAGAACATCAATGTTGCTGGTAAGCTTTTTACTTCCTTGTTTCAAGATTTATTTTTTTAATTTTTGGCTCTGTTTTAGAGATTTTATTGTTTGCCCTTAGAAGTTTGATACATAAAGGGTATTCGTGTGACAAAATTTGTAAGCCACTTGAGGGAAATCTAGAGAGCATTAAGTAACCGCCAACCATACCATAAATTTCACTTCAATTGATATAACTAGCCTATTCTTTGACATAATTGTCTGAAATGATAATAAATATATCAGATTAAAATAATAATATAACACATTATCATTATTAAGTTGGATGGTAATGTCATTGAGAGAGAAGACAAATTAGATTATAAAGTATAGATAGAATTTACGAGATATTGACAAATTTCAATTTTATGAATTTTTACTATTGAAGACGAGATATTTTGGCCATTTGATTTTCTATGTACGTGGAACCAAGTATGTCACGAAAAGGCTAAAGAACGTGGAGTCTTGTCTTTTCTTTTTATTTATTTATTTAATTTTTATTTTTAGGGAGTGAGACTTTGCTATTAAACAATGGCCAAACTGAGTGTCTTTTTAGCCGCTGAATGTATGGGCGGGCAGATTAAAAAAAACATGTATGGGTGGGACCCAAGTAAGAATAGCGAACGTGTGTTAAAAGGTCCAAAACATATTTGGTTACCTAATATGTTTATCTCCACCTAAAAACGACCAAACAATGAAATGACCAAACTAAGTGTGTTTTTAACCATTCAATGCTATGTGCATGGGACCCACTTAGGTATTATACATATGCATCAAATTGTCAAAAATATACCGTACTAATTTATGCTATTTAAAATTATACTTCTTTTCCATATTAATTATTCATTCCGAAAACTTTATTCACTGTTATTTTTTTTTATTTTTAAATCATTTGAAGTTATTTTCAATCATATTCTTTTTATATATTTATATATTACTTGTATCCCAAATTAGATATCTTTTTTGATAACTTTAATTTACAAAATTTTTAAAGTAGATAACTAATATGAAACCAAGGTAGTATTAATTTGTGTTATTTAAAGCCAACAAAACAATTAAGGATCAAATTGAGTGTGTTTTTAATCACTTGATGTATGTGTATGAGATTGAAGTAGGTATGAGTTTGAGACAGAAAAAAATTATCATATAAATAAAATTGACATACTAAATTACATAATTTATAATTAGTCGGGTTTATATAGTCCCAAAATACCTAAAATGGAGTAATTTTTAACACATTTACGTACAATTTTTACTCACATGCGGACTTGAAAACGTCTCTTCTTTGAAAACGAGGTTATATAAATCAATCGTGCGCCAATTAACTATTCAATCAGTTTGAATGGTCTTTTCAAACACTTCCCTTGACACTGGGTCCTGAACAAGAAAATGGGTCCTGAACAAGAAAAAGTCAACTTTAGCAAACAGACTTTAAAGTTCAATCTTAAGGCCCAAGATATGAAATGCCTTCTAAAGGGTTTTATGGTCTACAAATGGATTATTATAGGAGGGGTTTGGAGAACTAGCATTGTCAAATGAGTGGAAGCCCACCAACGATGGTTGGCTTGTACCTTAGCCACGTAGTAGGTATTTTGGTGCACCTAATTTATGGGGTCCACCTATTTTTATATCTTAGACAACTTCAAAGGCAATTAGCTTACCCTAGGATGGTCCAAAGGGAAAGATTCTCTTTTGATGCCGGGGAGTTTGATTTTGTTTGAGGTTGCTTTCAGAAAATTTCCTCGTTATAAGTAAAGATTGGGGAATTATATGTGGCTGGTGACAAATTAAGGAGTAAACTAAGAAGTTCGGCACCATCATCATTGCGAGAAAAAATTTATATATTATTAGTTCGTCACTTTTCTAGAAAGCAAATCATTGATTATGGTATTTCGGAGTTGGGTTTTGTGAAGTCGAGATTGAGTAGCAGCACACTAACATAATTAGGATGGCTAACACCATCTCTAAAAATTGTAAAGTGTTTTTTTTGTTTTGGATAAGACTGCATGGATCAAACCCTCCCACCTCAGATTCTGCTTTCACAAATGGGCTAGCCTTCTCTTTGCTAAATTCCAGTCTAATAAATATAATTTTAACAATTTTTGGGTGCGTATGTATAGTTATGTATAAATTTATATTTATTGATTTGGATTGGGGATTTTTCTACTAGCTGCATGTTTATGCTAATGCATTTCCCTATCTTTTTGGCTTTTGAAACAGCAATAGAAACAACACTATGGTCCATAGAATGGGGCATTGCTGAACTTGTAAACCACCCTGACATCCAGAAGAAGCTGAGGCATGAACTCGACACCGTGCTAGGGCCGGGAGTCCAAGTCACCGAGCCTGAAATCCCAAAGTTGCCCTACCTCCAAGCTGTGGTCAAAGAAACCCTTCGCCTGCGAATGGCAATCCCTCTTTTGGTCCCGCACATGAACCTCCAGGACGCGAAGCTTGGAGGGTTTGACATCCCCGCAGAGAGCAAGATCTTGGTCAATGCATGGTGGCTCGCCAACAACCCGGCTCACTGGAGCAAACCGGAGGAGTTCAGACCGGAGAGGTTCTTGGAAGAGGAGTCTAAGGTGGAGGCCAATGGCAATGACTTCAGGTACCTTCCGTTTGGTGTTGGGAGAAGAAGCTGCCCCGGAATCATCCTCGCCCTGCCTATCCTTGGCATCACCTTGGGACGTTTGGTACAGAATTTCGAGCTCTTGCCTCCTCCAGGACAATCGAAGGTTGATACTGCTGAGAAGGGTGGGCAGTTCAGCTTGCACATTTTGAAGCACTCAACAATTGTTGCAAAACCCAGATCGTTTTGAATTTGATTTGTGTTACATTTTGAGTTTAGAAAAAGTGGGATTGGGAAGAAAAATTGTGATTGTAAATTTTATGACTTTCCAAAGGATGATTTACAAATTTGTAATAAGGGATTCTGTTTATTCGTTTGTTTGATCTAAAAGAACTAATAGGTGAGTTTGTGCACCAGTTCCCATTTATAACATTTCACATGAATACAATCTATACTCCACACCCTGAAGCATTTCAATTTTTTGTACCCTATGATTCGACTAGTATTTATTCAATCTTTTAGGTATAGCCCCGCCATCTGCCGCCTTTTAAGTGCAAGTCTTAGTGAATCATTTGTAGTACAACACAAAGCACCATTGTCGCATTTGATAATCCACAATCTTCAAACGTTTGAAGATTATGTACCCTTATTCGCAATACAACACGTATATGTATTTTATACGCAATACAACACGTATGTGTTACTAGAGAGGATCCATGGCTGTGCTAGTAACATCACAATCTAGTTCTCTTACTTTGGCAGCTATATAGAACCCTATTTTCATTTGAGTGGTTTGACAATCTTATTTTTTTTGTATGCATTTTTCAAAGTCAGTCACGTTTACAATAATTTTATGGTAAAGTGTAAAAAACCGCCTTAAAGTATTAACCATTTGCAATTATTCTCCTTGAACTACAATTTTTTTTTTTTTCTTCGACCAAAGACAACAAAACAAAAGAAACCTAAACCACACAACACAACTAACACTCCACATCCTCCATAGCCAAAGGCACAATGGGAGAGGGAAGAGCAGGCAGAAATTGATCCAATCCAAGCCCAGGACGTAAAAGAGCAGCTAAAGCAGGAGCCACCCGATTACCTTGGCGCCAAACATGAGACAAGGTAGCAGAAGAAAATCTTCGAAGATCTCGGGCAATATCAAAACAAATAGACGCAATTTTCGCTGGACAAGATTCGCCATTCAACACCCTATCTACAATAACTTTAGCATCCGATTCAAACCATAAATAAGAAAATCCTAAAGCAAAAGCACAAAGGACAGCACGCTGACAAACCACAGATTCCGCCTGCAACGAAGAAGAAGCGGAAAACGGACAAAAAACAACTGCTTGAAGTACTGCACCTCTAAAATCACGGAAAACAACTCCGCCGCCCCCCAATAACGACTGCCGACAAAAGGAAGCATCAAAAACACCAAGACGTGACTGAAGGACCTGCTGGCCCTGGAAGTAAGGATGAGCTAAGAGACTGAGCATCTTTGAATTCCCAAAAACTAACAACTGCTTTTTGAACCACAAACTCCGGCTCCAATAAAATCCCATCAAAAACCAATCGATTCCTTGTCTTCCAAATACCTCAAGTACAAAAAGAAATCAAACTAAGAACATCAGTAAAGTCCGAAGAAATCATAGCCTGATGCATAAGAAAACTCCAACCAACCCTGAAGGAAGAAAAAGAAAGACCTGAAAAATCAATACGCAGTGGAGAAAGTTTCCACACCTGTATAGAATGAGGGCAAGAAAAAATAAGATGCATAACAATTTCGTCCTGCAAATTGCAATGAGGACAAATAGACGAGCCAGTACACCCGCGAGATAACAAAGCCACATGAACTAGCAAAACATGAAGATAACATCTCCAAAGAAAATGTTGCACCTTAGATAGTGAACGAAACCACCAAATAGAGGACCAATCAGTAAAATGAACTGGAGGTCCTGGATAAAGAGACATTGACACAACCAAGCAGACCATACGAAAAATTTACCCGACCGCTCCGAAGCCCAAATGATAACATTGGGTTTACCCCAATGACTTATATGAATTTTAAGAATTTCCTACACCGTAAGAAGAGGAAATAACTGAGACAAAACATCCATTTTCCAAGAAGATGTAGTAGGATCAATCAACTCCGCCACGTAAGAGTATAGAACAAGATCCTAAAGCGTTGAAATTTTTTGATCCATCGTAAGGACCCAATGATCATCCCAAATATGTGTAGAAGTGCTATTCCTAATCAATGATCGTAAGCCCTGCCGCAATAAAGACTGGGAAGACCAAACACTATGCCAGCCCCAAGAAGGATTATATCCCAAAGAAGCATCCAAGAAAGACGAGTCTGGAAAATACTTAGCCTTCAGAAGCTGATACAACAAACTTTGCTTCTGAACCTGAAAATGCCAAGCATGCTTCGCCAAAAATGCTAAATTAAAAGCCTCGAGATCGCAAAATCCAAAACCACTCAAGTTCTTACTCCGGCAAAGAAAATCCCAATTAACCCAATGAATTGCCCAATGTTTATCTTTATTACACCACTAAAAGGAGCGAATATGTTTCATCAAATCTTGACACAGAGTAGTGGGAAGCTTAAAAGAAGGTATAACATAAGTAGGTAAAGCACTCAAAACCGCCTTAATCAACACTTCTTTCCCACCCGTAGATAAAGACTTGGCTTTCCAAAAAGATAACCGATCCTGAATTTTATTCAGTAAAAACTGAAACACATCCCTTTTGGATCTACCCAAAATAACTGGAACACCAAGATACCGACCCTGCAGCCCTTGATTTTGTAAACGTAGGATCGACAAATAAAACGGCGATCAGAACCTGTGGTATTAGGCGAGAAAAAAATAGAAGATTTAGAAAAATTGACTTGTTGCCTAGAAGCCCTTTCACAATCCACCAAAATGCGTTTTAGAAGAAAATTTTCCGTCAGAACTGCAGCACAAAACACAATAGAATCATCAGCAAAAAAAAGATGAGAAATAGACAGAGCACCCCGACAGATACGAATACCAGATAATATCTGAGCTTGTTGAGCTCGCAAAAGAGCAAGAGAGAGAGCTTCATCACATATAACAAATAAATAGGGCGATAAAGGATCACGCTGCCTCAAACCCCTAGACGGTTTGAAGAAACCAACCGAACTCCCATTAAATTTTAATGAGTAAGAAACTGTAGAGATGCAGGAGGTGATCATTTGAAGCCAATGAGCATTCAAACCCAATCGAGACAACATTTGTAATAAAAATTTCCACTCAATCCGATCATAAGCTTTACTCATGTCAAGTTTCAACGCCATCCAAGCCTTAGCCCCCTTTCACTTATTTTTGAGATAATGCAAAATTTAATGAGTAATTAAAATATTATCTGTAATATGCCGCCCTACAATAAAAGCACTCTGCGAATCACTGATAAGGGAGCTAATAATCCCTTTCAGACGGTTAGTTATAATTTTTGTAATAATCCGATAAGACACATTACACAAAGAAATAGGTCGGTAATGACTGACCTAAGTCGGAGAGGAATGCTTAGGGATTAAAATAATATTGGTATGATTAAAACTAGATAACAGATTACCCGTAACAAAAAAACTAGACACAACATCAACAATATCCCTTTTGATTACCTCCCAATATTTTTGATAAAAGAGCGGGGTCATACCATCCGGACCAGGAGCTTTCATCGGTTGCATAAAAAAAACAGCCTGTTTCACTTCCAACTCCGATGGGGCCAGCAAAAGAGAAGCATTCATCTCGGCAGAAATCCGGATTGGAACAAGCCTTAAGAACTGCTCAATATGCGTAGGGTGGGAAGATTGAAACAAACTCTGGAAATAAGTCAAAAAGATCGACTGTACTGAGACCTCATTAGTGATCCACTGGTTCCCAGCATCATACACCCTTGAAATAAATTGCAGCCTCGCTTTCGTTTAGCAGTGACATGAAAAAATTTGGTATTACGATCCCCCTCTTGCAACCAAAGGAGACGAGATTTCTGCTTCCAAAATAACTCTTCCTCTAACCAACAAGAAGTTAAAGAAGTTTCTAATTGAACCACCTTCGAATGACAGTAATTAGAAGTGCGAGTTTTCAACTCATGGAGACAAGCAACCGTGCTATCAATACGAGCTCGGGATTTAAGATTTCGAAGCTTAACCCAATGAATAAGATCAGCTTTACAGTGACGTAATTTCTGAGCCCACCAAAATTGAGATGATGCCAAATCACGCCAAATCATAAGACTAGACCACGCCAAATCAACAATATTCTTACAGTCCTCCAACAAAGTCTAACGAGCATCAAAGTGAAATTGCCGTTTTCGAGGCCTAATCACAGGCAGAAGTTGCAGCAACAAGGCATAGTGATCGGATCCCACCACAGAAAGATGAGATAATTGAGCCCGAGGAACATCTGATAGCCAATCCTTAGTCGCCAAAGTACGATCCAATCGTTCCTATATATTAGCAATTCCATCGCGCTGATTAGACCAGGTAAAAGGGAAGCCCACATAACCAATATCTAGCAAAGCACAGTAATCAATCAAATTACGAAATGACCGAAGTTGCCACGCTTGCTTAACTCGGCCCCCACATTTCTCATAATTATGTATAATATCATTAAAATCATCAATAAGAACCCACCGACTAGACCAATACCGCGCACTGTTAATAAAATATTCCCATTGCAACGCTCTCTCCCTATCCACAGTACTAGCATATATAAGGGAAAAGTAACAAGGTAACTAGGTAGGGGACAAAACAACAACTGTAATAGAAAAATAGTTTTTATCAACCACCCGTAACTGAACTCGATCATTCCACCAAAGGCCAATACCACTTGCAATCCCAGCCGGTTCAACCAAACAACCATTAGGAAAACCCAACATTTTGAACCGCCATTGTGCGCTTCCAATTTTTTGTTTCAAGAACACCAATAATATCGGGAGAATATTGAGAATTTAAACGTTTAATTTGCTGAATTGTAGAAACTGACCCCAAACCTTGACATTTCCAAACAAGAATATTGGGAAAATCATTATTGTACTGAGAAAAACAAAGAGGTGGAGCTGTAGAATGTGAGGGAAAGGAGGAAGCAGAAGAAGACAACCGACGAGCACAAGCAGCAGTACGATGCCTGGAAAAAGAACCATGGCCAGAATGTATAACTGGAGCCTAGCACCAAAAACAAATAAAACAAACTCAACTATCAAAGAAATCGGAAACCAACATAAAAGAAAAATAGCACCTGTATGGCCCAATAAATAGAAGCCCAACCACCAAACAGCCGACCCACAATGATCCACAATACAACACCACACAGATGGTCAACAACACACCATGTAGCCACCCTTGCACCACAGAATTAACACCATCGACCCACCAACACCGGACCGGAAATCATCTCCGGAACC